CTCAAAGATGCCCAACCTCAGCTGCCTCTGATGTCCACATGAGGTACCCAACGCGGCCATGGAGAAGATCGGAGTTGATCTTATGTTTTTGAAGGGTGAAGAGTACTTAGTGACACGTTTTGCTATAGAATCTAACTTCTGGAAGTTGATCGATTGTATAAGTCGACTGCGAAGAGTGTGATCAACAAGCTGAACCAACATTTCGCTAGGTATGGAATGCCCGGAAATGAGATGGTAAGCGATATGGACGGCTCCCGTTTGCTCGCTCAGAGAGTTTTTGGCAAGCTCCAAAAGAGGTTGAATATTAAACACCAAACCATCTCGCCCTATAACAGGCCAAAGCGAATGGGCAATGTGAGTCGGCAGTCAAAATCAGCGAGAAAGTCATGAAGAAATGTCGGAGGTCTGGTGAAGATCTGCTCTCGCGTTGCTTGAATTTTTTGAGGAAGCAGCTCCTACGCAAGGGGTCGACTGCCAGCCGCTTCACAGAGATTCCTTCGGAGGCGTACTAAAGACAAGGAGTCCGCAACTACGGCCTCACTTCTGAAGCGCGAGGAGTCACGAGACTAAGCACGAGATGCAAGCAACTCGAGGGCTTAACAAAAGCGTCAGGCCAAATACTCGATAGCATGCGAGCCGAGCTGCTGAACTTGTTCAAAGGCGACGTTGTCAGGGATGAAGCCGTTTCGACAGGAGAGGATCGATCTGCGAAAAAAGGACAGGGGTACTTCGTCCGTTTGGATGAGAGGTCCTTTGAAGTGGATGTTGATGGCGCCCGTGTAGCAGTACTCAATCAGAGAACATCTCAAGAGCAAGGTAAGAATCTCCTGACTCAGAGAGATCTCCAGTGCCCCAGACCTGAGGGAAGGCAACCGACTACGGACGCTCAAGGTACACTCCGGCGACCGGCAGACAAGCCGGGTTTGGAGACAGCCACTTCACAATAATACTTTGATGATTATCACCAACAAGGTCAAGAACTGTGTCGCATGAAGATGTAGGGGATAAACCGCAACCTGATATGTGCGAACTCATTGAGACGTTCAGGAAGACACCGACATCTCCCAGACAAGATGAAAGATTTGTATGTATTAACAAAATAAGAAATGCGAAAACAGATACGTACATGAAAAGGGAAGTTTTTCATATTTGCTTGCGGATGTTTTTTGGTAAAAAGTAAGATTAAAGGATTACCGATTGGAATATTTGTCGGTTGTAGAGATAGCTACAGAACTAGGATTCCAATGATTTGAAAGTACGGATAGTCTGATCATTGTTTTTGACATATATGTGTATTTGTGTTAAGGAAGCACATTTTGTTTTGTGAGGTGTGCAATCTTCAAGATTTGCATGGTTGTTGAGGTTATTTTACATAGGGCTAATGCAAATGATGTAGTTGTTTTGAGTAGTTAAACTCATGTGAGGCTTCTCTTTACCGACCTGGTAGTTTGTTGAATGTGGTATTTGCACATAGATCATGTATTGTTGATGTGAAACAAAGTAATGTTCCTCAACGTTGTAGAGCGCAAAGCTGGAGCGAAATCAATTCTTATTTTCTTAGTTTGTTTTACATAGCCGCATTTGATTGACTATTGCCATTGTTAGTCCAGAATACGTCACTCCATACTTGATTGGGCCATATTGCTGTATGATTTTGTCAATATGTGTTTTTCATATTACACAGTATTAGGCTATTTTAGTACTTTTCGGTCAGTTTACCAAAACACCATCCTCTCATGTTTTAAAAAGGAGAGGAATGTGAGCATATACTGTGTTCATGTTAATTACCAACATCTGGCAATGTTGTAATGTTTGTAACGACAGATGCGCCAGGGTGCCAGGGTCAGCAAAAAACGCGTAGCATGGCTGATTCGTAAGCAGCAGTTGGCCATAAAGCAGTTCCATTCCAAACAATGCTTTTTCTCTGCTGATTACTGCACACAAAGCATATTGAAACAGCTAGGAATGTCGATATAGAACATTCTGCTCACGTCAGCTTGCTGCAGTGTGACGCACAGATTTACTACGAATAGTGGATTAAAAAGTGTTTTTCTCGCAGTGTTATAAGCGATAGCGAATAGTTGCAAATAATAGTCGGCGATAGACGTTCTATATTATCGTAAAACATCCATATTTCACAGTGAAAGTTAAAATAAATTAAAAACCCCCAGTGGTAAAGTGCAGTGTGATACTGTGATCAGATCAGATATCTAAAATAAGAACCTTGTTAATATCAATTTAGATTCGACCTTATAGTACATTCAATATCACTGCATGGCACGAACACGATATTCACCATACCCATCCCTAACAAAAAAACCCAAATAAACCCACGCGTTCGCAGAGCCACTGTGTCTATATATAGCTACGCTGCGTTGTGTTATGACACAACAAAAAATATAGACGTCATCTCCACACAAGCGGCGCGTCGGCAGCGCGGCACCGCGTTCAGCCGCCTACCGCAAAGTATAATCCATATAAAATCTCTGGCGCAGTCCTCGACT